GGAACGGAGATGTTCGAGTTTTACGTGTAACGGAGAGTTAAATCGAGTAAAAATAGCGGTTTGGCAACACGACACATTCAAAAGTCATTTCCCCTTTTTTATCAGACAGTTTTTGTTGATTCCATGGTAATTTATCAAACAGCGCCACCGTCCGGTGGCCTCCGCGACCATATCGCGTATTTGACTTTCATCCCCCCCGCGTTGACGGCCAACGATGCAAAAAAGTCGACATAACGTTTTACGTTATTAGTTCTGCGATGATGCCTCGTTCGAAATAAATATATCGACGGTTCGTTTAACTGACGGACGTTCGAACATTAACAACCGGTAAGTTAGAGTTCCGAGGATACGGGTGCTTAACGCCATAATCGGCGAACGGAGAGAAGCGGGCAGACTGCCTGGCTCTGCTGCATTGCATCGGTGAGAGAGTTCACTCGGCCATTATTGCGAATAAAGAGGATTCTGCGGAGAGATGCGAGGTGAATATCGAACGACGCGGTACTTTATTGCCGTGGCGGCTGTGAGAACTCGCCAGCGGTCGGGCATAAAAAGCAACAACGCGCGCACACACACAATGACAGTTTACGTATGCGATTGTTCTCCGAGGGCACGGCTCCCGGTTTACGTCCGCGCGTAATTTACGGGGGCGTCCAGATGTCCGCGGAGAAGATCTAATTAGCGACGGGGTTTGATCGACACCTCGGAGGTCGCGAGGCCGTGAATTGCCAAGGTATTGAGCAAGCGTCGTGCGTAATACGAAATTTGGACGAACTCAAGTTTTAAATACGCGGAATATAGTAATATTTTTTTACTGAGTTTTATAATTTCTTGTTTAGATTAAAAGATATAGCCGCTTCAGTAATTATTTTTTTAAGCAGATTTACGTCAGTTACTTCATAAGACGTTTTGAATTTGCCATGTTTACACGTCTTCGAGGTAAAATAAACATATATTTCTTCGACCTATTGTTATCTACCGTTAACTGTCTAAGTTTGCACGAGCAGCCCAATTTTTACCTTTTTACTACTGAACTAGCGCCGAATAAAAGAATTAATAAATGAAAATCACTTTTGATCAAACGAGGCTATTGGTACTTGGTACTATTGGCACTCTTGAATCAGTGCAGTTGCAAACCATTCGGTGTCATGGGCTTGAAAATGAGGGTCGCACACTTCCACATGAACTAGAATTGAAAATTTTTAATCTGCCAGCCCAGCCTGTGGCACTCAAATTTTTTTCCGCTTGCGGGAATGAAATAATTGCCACTTTTGATTCATTCTTACAATTCCTCCATTGAAATTTGTCGCTGTTCCGACATCAAATACCTCAGTTAAAACGCTTTAACGAACATGTAACCCTATAGCGACCTGCATTTATTCTCATTCTATTATTTACAACCTATCGTTTCGCCGCCTTGTTGGAGAGGTTGAAATCTTTAATCGAGTCCGGATTTTCTTACAACGTATTCCCGCAACCCCATTTAAAACATTTTTATCTCGGCCATTGGAGGTTTTTCTTCTTCTCCGTTACTTCTAATGGCCACCATTGCATAAGGTCATTCGGCCAGCTTACGACTATTGTGAACACTATACAAAAATCCTAAAGGATGCCTTTTAAAAAGAAGGGTCATCCTCCAGGATAATTAACATAAACCTAATGGGTTTTCAACAAAAAAATTATGCTTTGACCTATAGCAAAATACGACTTCCCCCGCTGACCAACCGGGCCCATCCGGTGTGAACGGGAAAAAACACCCGGGCCGACAACGATTAGACACTTTAAAACATACAGTAAACACTAAGAATATTAAATCTATACTGTAGAAGCGGATTGCAAGGTTTTGGGGGACGATTACAAGGGATTCTGTTGGGAGCCAACGGAGATTAAACCGCAATGTGCATTGCTCACGACAGAATCCCGCCCGAGATTATGTTCACAGAAAAATATTTGGGATTGCTTTACTTCTAATGGCTAAAAATTCTAAGGATGACTTTGTAAAGAACGAGTTTGGACCGTATACCTCTTATAAATGTTTAAGCTCTGCTCGCTCCCGACAGAATCCTTTGTAATAGTCCCTAAAAACTTAACATCGGTTTCCATTGTATAGATTTAGTGTCCTAAGTGTTTAGTAAATGTTTTAAAGTGTAATCGTTATCGGTTCCGCTGCTTTTATGTTTCACGTCGGTCGAAGGCCGAATGGGCCCGGATAGTCCGTGCCGGTAGCGGATGTGGCAGTTTTTTGCTATCCGTTTGCCTTGGAGGGTGATGGATTCGTCCAATCTGTTTTAATTAAGGCGCCTTTCCAGGTTATAAAGTAAAGTCACCATTCACTTTTCATTTCATTTTCTTTCTAAACGGCGATTTTCACACATTTAACTCGTTGTTACAGGACGTTTAGTGAGATCTAGATGTATTTTCAGAAAATGCTGAAGTAAAAATACCGCATCCAAGCATATTGACAAAAACACCTTTTACGCCTTAAATAATTCAAATAACCAATATACTGATTAATATTTTCATCAAACTGCCTAACTTCTAATCGATTTTTAAACTCTAGGGTTAGTTCTTCTTCTGTTCGTTTAATGTCAGGTTCCGCTTCTTTTGCCTGCCGTGGGTTTGGCGCGATAGACGCCTTAATCTTCGGGCCAGATGGGCAAATCAGTTTACAATAACTATCCGGAATCCTTATACGCTGCACGATAAAAATTTCTCACATAAATTTTTATATCGACAAGTAGGCTCTTTTGTTATTGAAAAAGGCGCATATAAATAACGCCTTAATAAGAAGCGGCGGCGGAACCGGTTCGAGGCCCGGTGTTTACGTTAGAATTAACAAATACGGGTGCCGGCCGTATATCGGCATTTGCTTTAATGATCGGTAAAGCGATCGGGATGCGAGTTAATTTAGTCGCGCGGTGCCGTGCCGTCTGGCATAATAATCGGGGCGCTACGAAACGCCGATGCTTTTTTTTTTCGAAATTGAGCGCCGTCACAATGCAATTTTCAATTTATTATATGGATTACAACCAAGTTATAAGTTATAAATATTTATTTTTTTACGATTACAACACCCAAGCCACCCAGTGCGAATCGAACCCACAACCTCCGACAAGTCGATTTGGCCGTTATAACGCCTTGCTAACCGAGTCACCCTCGGTTCCAATTATTTTTGGTTAGTTGGTTAGAAGGTGGTCAAAATATCTTCGTGCAGTTAGCGCATACTTCACTCTCCGAGTCACAATTTTTTTGGAATTGATTCATTTTCATGAAAAGGCAGTTTCTAAAATTCTTACGCTTTGCCTAATTTCGCCTGCGGTGATTGATTTGAACTCGCCTTCGAAATTAATATTTAGTCGCGTCGTTTTCTTCCGAGGAGTATTTAGTTATCTTGTGTTAACAATTTAGAATAGTGGTCTCTCTACTAAAATAATGCTTGCTAAATGTGACGTTCTTCTGCATACACGTCAACGTTTTTGTATGTTAAGAGCGGAAAAAGCGGCCATCGTTGCAAGTTGGTTTATCCGTCGTCGCGCCACCAGAAAGAAAAACCCACGTTATCTTACGCATTACGGCAGCTAATTGGATATTTTTAAGGCTTTTTTTCTCCCGCGATCGCTTCGCGAATAAATACGTCTTACGTGGTTGAAATCTTAAGCGACTCGGAGGACGGGAGATGTTTCGTCGTCGATGCATTCTCAGAATTCCTCCGATCGGGTCGGGCGCCCATTTTTCGGTGGTTGTGCGGGTCATTTCGCTTACTAGTAAAGACGTTTTCGTAGCCATTTCGATTTCCTTATATTTTATCTTTCGAAATGCTCTCGATAAGCACGAATAATCGAGACAAGAGGGATGCGTAGGACGCGTCGAGAATCAAAATTGCGTTCGCGGCATCTTTCATTGCTACATTTTAATTCCGAGTCGCACCATATATCGGGAGCGATGTTACTTAAATCACAGATTACGTTAACTCGAGGTGTAATGGCAGAAAAGAGGAAGAGGTGCGCCATCACAGAGTAGAAAAAAGGGAGGGAACCATTGCGAAAAAAGTTTCGGTTAAAAATTGTGTCGTCGGTTAAGGGAATTGTCAAAAGTATAGTGCGTGTATTTTATCGATTCGATTTGTGATTTGAAATTAATTCTAGTGTACGCGTTAACACAGCTAGGAGATGATCGAATAGCCCAGAAAAGAGTGGTTGTTGAGTGATCTGTGGCGAAGGGCGGAAGTAAAAATGCTTTTTCAGTTTCCTTTCTGTCATTTTATCGTAAAAAAATATTCAAAAATCATTTTGGAAGCATGGACGATCAAATCCGCGCGCAGCGGCAGCGGCGCGACATTTTTAAGCACGTTTAAACGCTATTGCGACCAAACAGGAACCGGGAAGTGGTAATTGTAATAAATAACGACGGTTCTCTTCTAATTACCGAGAAGAGCAGCGCTCTTTACGCGACAATTATATCGCGCTAGTTGGAAGCCGCGGCGATTAGCGAAGCGGTCAAACCTGCCCGGACGAGCGCGACAAAAAACTCCGGGGTCGCCACTGATTACGCGGCGACGGGAGAAACGAGAAATCGAACAAACGGTTTCCGTATTCGATCAGCGGCCGATTGTGCGATTAACGCGATAATTAAATTATAATCGCGTCGTGCGAAATAAATATGGGGTTATCAAAAGGTGACCCAATTTAACACAAATCCAGTAAATGTCGTTGTCCAAAAGTGAGAATGGCGTGGTTGAGGAAAAAAAACTTTAAGATCGTTAGTTACTAGAGTAAACAAAAAACAGTTGTTAGCAATTTGAAAAGGGTCAAACTTCTGAGACTCTATCGGTTCCACCTTTTCCAATTCTGCGAAAAACACGAGTCCGCGTCGAAAAACAAACATCTTTTATTTTCTGTCTGTTCTCTGTTCTCCCGTGTCGTGGACAGAAATAGTCCACAAATCTATTCCATTCTGTTTCTTTTATTCCTTATAGGCACGGTTTTCCCAGTTGCGATTAGTCCACCAATACTACCTCCAATCGAAACGAACCCGGTTGTCAGCAATTTGTAAAAGCAGCAATTATGTAAAAAATCTATAAAAACGATTAGTAGAAAAAAAAACATATATTATTTCCTGTCTGTTCTCTGTAACGGAGCTTCGGTGGGTGGGAGATTTAAAGCACACGGGTTGAAATTCGGCAGGCATTTAGGGTGGTCTCGGAACTGAAAAAGTTGAAAAAATTCTCGCACCGGAATATAACGCGCGTCGTAGAGAAAATAGACAACGAATTTATTCCATTCCGTTTCTTTATTTCCCGCGGGTACGGGTTTACACAAAACAAAGTCCCCGGGATTACCTACCGGTCCTCCCGAACGTTACAGACTGCCGATATCGTTGAACCGCTTGAGCTTCTCCGGGAAAGCGTCCTTGAACAGTACCGGATCCGCCCGGAACTCGACGCTCCGGAGCGGCATCCGACCGAAGGCCCGCGCGAACCTGTCGACGCACTGCGACCTCGCGATCATGTGACCCCAATCGGCGGACAGCGTCTCCGTGTTGGTGCACTCGGGACACTTGAACTTTTTGCGGGGCGTCACCTTGACGGGCGGCTTCCCCGTCACGTTCGCAACCAGGAAGTTCATCGCGATGTCCTCGCAGTTCATGTTGTCGTCGACCCAATCGCGGACCGTTCCCGGCAACCTGGTCGTGTACAAGTAACTCCAGTACTTGTGGAGGAACGCGGCCCCCGTCAGCACCATCGAGATCTCGTTGAGCCACTCGGACTCGTAGCGCCAGCCGCGCGTCCCGTTGTTCCAGACGTGGGTGCGCGACGGGAAGCCGACGATGCGGTCGGGGAACTCGCGCCACACCTCGAACGCGAACTCCACCTCGTCCGCGGTCAGCATCACGATGTCGTCGTCGATGTGCAACACGCCCTCCGTCTCGATCTCTTTGTACGGGTAGAAACGGTTCGACAGGTGGTTCGCTTTGGTCCGGATCACGCTGATCGGTTTCTCGATCTTCGGAAAATCGGCCGCTGCCGAACCGAAACGCGTTTTTAGCTATACAGCAATAAAAGAGAGAGGAAAGAGGATAGGGTTCGGGCTAAGTGAAGAGAAAATTGGACCGAAGAAAAACTCAAAAAGACACAAACTTATTTCCTATTCCTATTCCTACACCGACTCGTAATACTCTTAATCCCGGTCCCGGTGCCGGTGCAGAGCGAACCGCTTCCCGAGCAATAAACCTGGAGGATCGTTCGAAAGAATTCAGGTGCCCGGCCCCACAGATAAACGAAACAAATAATGTCTAAAGCGAGTAACGTTCCCAGGAAAATATGTGGGCCCGTACAAGATCCTCAGTGGTGAAATAAAGAAAATGACTAACCCCCACAGATCAAAACAGAAAATGGAGTTATGTAGACCGTTAAAAGAGGTATACCAATCGCAAGAAGACCATCGGGGCGCCCTAGACAAAGGTGGGAAGATAATGAATGTAAAAAAGAAACGCTAAGTACGAAAGTAGGAAAAAGTAGCACGAGATAGAACTAGATGAAAGTCAGCGATCGAGCGGCTTAAAATATTGTTCGGCCACGTTGAAATTGTATCGTTTGACAAGAAAACAATTGGCAATTATTGATCAAATCATCTTTAAATAATAAACAAATTACTTTCTTTTAATTCCAATATGTGTGTCTAAATGACTATTTTTACGTTATTGACGGTATTCTTTCACACTTTTTAAATTTAGAAATTTTCCATATAAACAAAAAATTATTTTTCAAAACCTGGAAAATCATTTACAAACTAAAATAAAGTGAACAAATGAATTTGAAAAAATATAATATGCGCCTGAGTAACCATTTTTGTGTTAGTTGTAGACTCTTCACAGTTTAAATACGGAACAAACTAAAATTCATTTTTCAAAATCACTGAAATCTGAAAAACCATTTACAAATCTGTGAAATATTTATAGAGTCCGGTCAAGTTCTCGTAATTTTGGATATCGATTTGTAAATAGGGCGGCCTGTAGAAAGTGAGGTTATATCTACTCACGTGGCGGCGGGTTTTTCTTCTGGTTGTTCCATACGACGACGATTTTCGCCAGGCTGGGCACCTTGGCGAGCCGCTCGATCAGCGTATACAGGCTGGTCACGCGATCGTACGTCAAAATGACGGACGTGAATCCGGAAGCCCTGGACGCGGTGCTGGGGAAGAACAACGGGTTTTCGTTTACCTCTTCGGGGGTCAAGTTCACGTCGTCGTAAGTCCTGGCCGAGTGCGGATAAGCCCGCTCCTGGATCACATCCAAGGTCGTCAACGCGACCTTTTCCAGAGTGGAAAAGTACGTGTCGTAGTAGAATTTGAGCGCCTTGCGCATCGTCTCTATTCGCTTGGGAGAAACGCCTCGCAAAACGTCCATCAGCGTACCCAAATGGCTCTCCATGACGAAAACGGCGACACGTTTCCAATCTGTAAAGCGGCGGGGTCGATTAAAATGGCGGGAATGGGCTCGCGCCACAGACGAACGGATCAAATAGATGTTTAACTTAAATTGGAGAAAAAAAAATAATAGTTTTCTTTCCTTTTCTTTTAATTCTGAATGTAATATTGGTAATTATTCAAAAACCTTTCTTCTGATTTTCATAAAATTTGAAATTTTCATTACCGGCAAAAAAGTATTACTTCCGGAGGCGTCACGGAAGGTGTTTTTAAATCCGCGAAAAAATGGTTCATACTTTATTGAAATGCGCAGCATGCTAAAACAAATTAAAAGTTATACAAAGACTGTTATTAATATTTTTTCATTAATTTTAAAATATATATATATATATATATATATATATATATATATATATATATATATATATATATATATATATATATATATATATATATATATATATATATATATATATATATATATATATATTAAAGTGCAAGAATTAACAATAAAAAATATACATAAGAATGTAATCCAAAAACAAATTAAGACAAAAAAGGCTTTTCTTAAACTTTAGCCGGTTTAACCCTGGGTCGTCTTTTATATAAAAGAGTAAATATCAAAAAAAGATATAGAACGTCAAATGTCATTTTCGATGTCAAATTTAAAATAATTATTGTGTGTTTTATATTTATGTAAACACATATTAGTCATTTTCTGCAATATGTATATTTGGCGTATTACCTTTCGGGAACGACATCATTTTTATTATTGAATCTATTGACTGACAGACAAAAAAAAATTTAAAAAAAAATCATTGTCGTTTCTTTATAACAAATCAATGGCAGAATATATTCGTCAAAACTGACATCGATTGGTTGTGACCCTTTATAAACTTTTGCGATCAGCAATCACAGCTAATAGTTTTAAATATCTTAGCTTTTTTCAATTGGAAAAAAATCATGCTAAAATGGGATCCTTAAGCAAAGTAATATGTGCGTCAGTCCAAAAACTATTTTTAATTTTGACAAAAATTTAAAATTCATTTACTATATTTTCTGGACATGCAATTAATAAACGTATTTGTTTTTTTTTTGTTTGTAATGCATAATTTCGGTAAACACAAAATCAAAAGGACGACCCGCACTTAGTTGCACCGAAGAGGCTGACTGCAACTTCTTCAAAATGCAAATAAAAATCGAAATCATATATTTAAGTAGAGATTAAGTGATATAATTTATTATATTATATTTTAAATTGTTTTTTAAATTTATAAATAAATGAATCAAAACAATAAGTTTTTTATTGGCCCTTATACGGTTTAACTCTCGTAACTGTTAAAATGCCAGTTGTATCAATCAAAAGCATTTTCGTAAGTATTTCGGCGGTAAAATTTAGTTTCTATCGCGCCGAACCCACCTATCACATCCGAGAACGGCAAAACGCAACCGTCGATCGCTACGACGGGCACGCAATTGGCGGCCATCGCCTCGTGCAGCGCCATCTGGCCGATCCGCTTTCCGCGAAATATCAAACAGAACGTCGATTTTCTCAACACGCGGGGATAAACAAACCTCCGGTCGGAATTTACGTCGCAGCGGGCGGCGTATTTGTGCGGGTGGCACGCGTCCAACAGCAACAAGCTGTTGCGATACCGGTACGCCATCTTTTGCAGCTCGTCGAGGTAATAGGGGTCGATGTTGAGCTGCGCGGACACGACCAACCACGGTCTGGAAAATAGAGTTGTGTCAATCGCGATCGATTCGGTCACTTTGAATCAATCATTTCATAGGATCGAACAAACGAATCCCGCTTGTTCGAAACGATTCGATCACGCTTTTCGCTCTCGCTGCCGCCCTGACCGGTCTGAAGTGAGAGACGGCGACCGATCGACCGACCGTACAACCACAAATCGAATTCGCCACGCGGAATACGATTCATTTGAATGGCAGTATTGTTATAATTATTGTATGGTATTGAATTGCGACATCTGCTGGTATATTTGCTTATGTGTTCAATTGAATGTTGAATGACATCTATTTCCAGGAAGGTATTTAAACAAGCGATTTTTTAAAATGTCAAGAAGTTTCCAATATAAAGCCACATAGTGGCGAAGATAAAAACCGAAGAACCGAACCGAACTTTGGCATTTCCCGGGAATAAACCTAAGAGAGATTGGGCCATTACATATAAAATAATGTTTTCTAACAAGATGTATTGTTACAACTCCAACTGACAACTTTTGCAAATTCAGGGAACATGTTTTATGTCGATTTTATAATAAAAATATGTTTTACTCTCATGTTACATCTATATAATAACTATAAAGAGTGCATCTACAAAATCTAGGGAATAGTGTCAGTTTAGGAAAATTCCAAAGACCGCATAGAGAATTCGGATACATGGGAAAAATGAGAAAGGACAGTTACATTTGGCTTTGTGTTGGCGAACTTTGTTAATTCGAATTCAACGATTCAATTGTCTCGTACTTGCAGATTTATTAGATTTCCGCACGGTTTGTGGCTATTTTTTTTTTTAATTCATAAGGTAACTTCTATGACGTTATTAAGAACGAAGTTTGAGCACAGTAAAATAAAGGAAAAAACTATTCCTTAAGTTCAGAACCCGCAATGTTTGCTAGCTTCTAAGCTTATACAGCACCCCTAAACTCTAGTAACGTAAGTAGCATCTAACTTTATTGGTGAACAAGTAAAAACTTTACGTCTCGTCAAGCGTGCACGTTTTAAATAAATAATAAAATAAAACAAAGCCAAAATAACAGATGCGTAAAGTCCTTACGTGGAAACGCGCAGTTAGAACTAGAAACTGTTTCTACAGGTTAACTTAAATGCAGGAGCAAAACTTAATTGTTGGGTTTTGTTTCCAAATAAAGGCCCACTGACGGGCCGAATCAAATTGCAGCAGCTCCCGCAATAAATTTACGGTAAAATTCGAAGGTACTACCGAATGTCACTAACCTTTGAGAATTAATGTCAGACAGTTCTCCCAAATTCGCCACGGGACTGAACTGGGGCAGCGGTACATCAAACCGCGGTCGAAACGCGAAAGAGTCGAAATCGGAGCCCGCCACCATCGCGTTTCCCAGATCCAAATCGACCACCGGTGAGAAATCCGGAGCCGTCCCGGCGATCATGTTAAATATCAAGTGATTCTCCCCGTTCGACCAGCTGAAAATCGCCGGTTCACTCCTTGTCCACTCGGCTGCCAACCTACTCACTAGGGAAGCGATTTCAGCGCCCTCGACGTCAAATTCAAATCGAGCCGCTCCTGATTCAGGGTATCGATGGATGGAACAAACAAACAAGCCTCCCGCGGATTGGAAGTGTAATATTTCGAATTCACTATGGCCGATAAGATGGTATAAAACTCTTTGGAAATGTCGTCCGCGATAGCCCTGTCTCCCATTTCGGACACATATTTTCTAAAAGGGTACACGTATACCGTCAATCGGTCTCGGGCGCTGTGGCCGCAACGATAGATATTGAAACAGTTCCAGTGAGTGCACTTGACGTTCCTGGGCGCCGGCGAATCATCTCTCGTATACAGTACCACCTCCGGGATGGATTGCAAATTATCGAGAATAATTTTTTCATCGTTACCGGATACGTCGTTGGCGAAATAAACGAACGGCAAGCTCGCCGCTATGAAAACAGACGCCACCAGGAGAACGACGAAAAAATTCTTGTACTTGTGGTACGAAGAAGCATTCGTGAAATTGTAGTATACCCTGTTCGCCACGAGTTTTTGGGGATTCATCGTTTTAAGACTTTCGTGTACATAACATTCGTTACATCATATCTGATTTATATTTTCCAATTCCTTCGAAATCACAGCCCGAAACGGTTAACACAAACATACCGCCTCTACAAAAGCACAAAATACTTTTAGTTCCGAAAACGAGCAAGTCATAGATACGTACCACATTGGTTAGATTTCATGCAAATCGACGGCTCTTGCACCTGTGGCGGAAACAATTTGCCCCAGAACAAATTAAGAAGAAAGGTGATTTTTACACCCGAGCAGAACTGCGGCTGGGGTTGAGCCATTCCGTGCTTTGCATACTGCATAAGTTAATAAATGCGTATTTAAACGAGCGTGCCTAATTTGCTCGTGCCAAACGTAGAAAATGCAACATGAAACTGCCCGTCACAAGCACAGATCACTAAACGAAAGTGTTGTAGTCTGTGGCAACAGGGGCTGGTGAGTTGTGAAAAGCGATTTCCATCTTTACTCTGATAATTTAAACTTTATTGCCGATGATAATTTCCAGTCGTTTCTTTTTAAACAGTTCTAACCTTGTCTTACATTTTTATCACGATTTAGATAATACTTAACTGCCATGGTAGGTATACAATTTTTTACAACTAGCGTTTTTTGGACTATATGCCGTTTTGTTACATCGAGCTGGCTTCAACAAGTCATTGTATCTATGACGTGCCTTATCAAAATATCTAAATACTTATAAATTCGCACAGGCCCTCGTTTACTTATGTGTTTCAGTTTTCCACCAGAGGGCCGAATCTCGTCGGCAATTTTCTGAAGGCCGGAAGAATGTTTTCTAATGAAGCGCAGGACGTGATCGTCAACGACTTTGGGGACAGAGGAGTTCTCGTGTTGAACCGCCCAAAAGCACTCAATTCCCTTAACCTGTCCATGTTGGACAAAATATATCCCGCGCTGGTTAAATGGGAAAAAGAAAAGAAACTGGTGGTAATTAAGGGGGCGGGCGAAAAGGCATTTTGTGCTGGTGGCGATGTGAAAGCCGTAGCCGAATCAGCTTTCAAGGGGGGAAAATTGGGACAGGAATTTTTCCGCAAGGAATATATCAACAACGGCCTGATCGGAGCGTACAAAATCCCTTACGTTGCACTGATCGACGGTATTGTTATGGGCGGAGGAGTCGGACTTTCGGTACACGGCCGTTACAGAGTCGCCACCGAGAAAACCTTGTTCGCGATGCCGGAAACTCAAATCGGGTTGTTCCCGGATGTTGGGGGATCTTATTTTTTGCCCAGACTGAGCGGAAGACTCGGCTGGTATTTAGCTTTAACGGGGCAACGACTGAAAGGTTCCGATGTGCTAAAAGCCGGTGTAGCAACCCACTTTTGTAACAGTTCTGAGTTGAAGTCGCTAGAAGAAGCACTTCTGAGTTGCTCGACTCGTGACGAAGTTGAGGGTACTTTAGAAAAGTTTTCCAAAGTGGACGATAGACAGTTTTCCCTAGCTCCCTATATTGACCAAATAAACGCCGTCTTCTCCGCGCCCACCGTATCAGAAATATATGACAGGCTAGAGAAAGACGAGTCCAAGTGGGCCCAAGAGACTGTACAGTTGTTGAACAAAATGTCGCCGACGAGTTTAAAACTAACGCACAAACAGCTGGAGCTCGGAAAAACTTTAAATCTGAATGAGTGTTTGGAAATGGAGTACCGACTGGCCGTGAGATGCGTGGAGGGCCACGATTTTCGCGAAGGCGTGCGGGCCTTGTTGATCGATAAGGATCAGAGTCCCAGATGGAAGCCCGCCTCCATCAAAGAAGTGAGAGATGAAAACATCGACGCCTACTTTCAGAAACTGCCAGAAGAATTGGAATTGAAACACAAATTATGATTGTTACAGTTGTGCGAGAATAGTTGCTAGTTTGTTAAAATATATCGTTTTGCATATCTATAGGGTGATTTTTTCAGCACTTTTGCTCTAATATCGATAAGCCGCCGGTTACCGCCTATATTCGAAATTTAAAAAAACGCTGTGTGCGAAAATTGTAAAATTTTCTCGTTGATTATTTGCTAATCGTCCCGAACACGTAATTCTTTTTTTTTCTATTATACAACGAGCTCGAGTGTTTTACTTAGACGACTGCCCAGGTTATTCCATATGTCGACGAATAAATTAGGCAATTTTTGCCAGTCGTTAAAATCGGACAAACACAAATAAACCCAAGGCCCGGTAGGAATCGAACCCACAACCTCCGACAAGTCGAGTTGGCAGATCTAACGCCTTACGAACCGAACCATCCTCTGTTCTAACACGTAATTCTATTCACTAAATTTGTAAAAATATAACCTATAAACGTCAGTTTATAGATTATATATATAGGGCACAGACCACTAAATTTTGGGCGACGAGTAACCATGGTCAAAGAGACGAGAAGTGAATCATTTCCATTTATATAATTTATATAATATTCCCCTAATACCGCCCCAACCCAATAATCAGCAAGAATCGTAAACTTAATAGGATTGCATAATCCGCCAAATCTGTCAGCAAGCGCAATGCGAAAACTCTCGCTGGCTGTGACGTAGTAAAGTCCTGTATTGGCGCGTTTACTATGCAAATGAATGGAAATAATCTGAAACTGACCCGAGTTTTGATGGACTTTGAGTATTTTGAGTAGATAATATAGCATTTTGTTTGGATAATCACTGGTTATTTTCATTTAATGTCAACATTAAATCGTTTTAGTACTTATTTAATAATTATTAGGAAGTAGGGTAAGGTAGTAAAAATAATACTATTGCATAAGCGCCTACTCACTAGTTTAACTTATTTTAATTGTTCAAAGAAAACAAAATACAACGGTTTTATACGCCTTCAAATGCATTGACAGAATACAGAAAAACCGTTAGACTTCGCTTACGTCACAATCGACCTCGAGCGATCAATAATTTTGGCGAACGTATGTCTTATGGGGTTGGGCAATCCTATTAGGTTTATGATTCTTGAGTAATCAGTAATATATTTATAATATTAGTATCATTATTAGTATTTTGTGCTTCGTTTTGAATTTTTTGTTACGTACCGTGAGAGAATTGCTTGTTGTCGATCGTCAATCGCTTGGCTTGTGTTTCTTGCGAGGGTAATTCAAGGCCAACCTTGCGGATTCAGTATTTAGTGGATGGATTTTAACTGTCTTCGTCGAATGGCATAGCATGGATTTAACCAGAAAATTATACGAAACTTTGATTTCATAAGATTTCCCGATTTTATGTTTCAAGAAAAACTTGCTACTCCAAACCAAAAAATTTGCGATAGAGCAAATTCTTATTTGAGAAAAAATGTTCGTTTCGTCGAGCTCTACCCGGCGCCCTACCGAATTTCAACTCTCTACGTCCACTTTAGTGAGTGGAATGCTATGATTATAGTTTGTCTTGTGCTGCCATCAATTACGCAATTACGCAAAAAAATTTAAAAAAAGTTAAGTAAATCGAGGCTATGAAATAGTTGCCAGAGGGCGTAATTGACATCTTGAATTTTAAAACCCGTTTTCTACATTAATGATACTTCGAGTGAACACTGATTTAAATCTGAGTCAAATTGAAATCTCTTTTGTTAGATGCTTTTACTCTACCTCTAAAAGAAAAGTGGTGGGGCACGCTTCAGCATTTCCCGAAATAAAATAAGTTAACTGGTCTAATGTCTAATCGTCTCACTTTTTTATACAAACGTATAAAATAAAGTTACCAACACTGATTAACATGAACAATAAAAACATTATTCTTGTAATTAAGCACGGAAGAATCGTTAATTTAAATTTAATTTAAATTCAAAAAGATTATAGGTTCGGTAAACTTCGTTAATGATTATATTAGTGAAAACACAAATAATACGCCCCACAAAATGCAACATATCGCACATCATCAAAATCTAATTAATGCACGACTTGTTAAAACATATCGAAAACGCCGCCAAAGTTATCTCCGTACAAATCGGCAGCAAAAAACAAAACCCTTATTAAAATCTAAAAATAGCACCGACATTGGCACATATGATCGCGGCCGGCTAAGACCGCAGAATAGGATAAAAAACGGCTGATTTCTTTTCGTGCGTCTCCAGGAGGGGAGAGAGTTGATTTGTTTATTATTTTTCGATGTATAAGAGAATTTCACGTAGTGTTTTTCTTTTTCGGATCAATACCAATAAAACAGCTTTTTGTCACCCAATAAGCTTGTGAGCTTAAACTTAGCTTTAAAAGAATCATCTGTCTAATCACGAATCAAAAATAAATTAAAATTGCCATTAAGAAAGTTGACCATTTCATTAATTTTATTTGTTTCGAAAAAGCGATGACCTAGAATAAATTCAGATAAACATATGAACGTATGATATTGCATATATTTTGGAATATTTATCATCAATGCAATTTCGATTGGAATGACCCGAAAATTAACCATAGATTCAATTTGAGAGGTTGGCTTAGTAGAACCGGAAGAGTCCAACTGCGACGAGCAAACAGATGTGGAAGAAATTAAGAATGTTTTATTTGCCACAATGTAGCCGTTTTACAAACTTAAATCGCGCCGAAGATATTTTGCTCGTAAAAGGAAACGCGAAAGTCGATACAATGGATCTGTTTTATCTGGTGCCCTGCGAGGGGGTTATAAAATCCAACGGATACGCGGTGATAATGATTACGTTTGATCCTCCCATAGATCCATAGAAGGAAAGGTGGTAAAAGGTTTGGGAAAAGGCGGTGCTAAACGACATTACAAAGTGTTGAGGGATAACGGATTTGTAGGCGCCAGCATGGACACAATTTTTTGAACTTTTTTTTATTAAAATACATCATTTTCATTAACATTTTCACCAAAGATTATGTCATATTTGGAATGACTATGCTGCACAATAACAAGATCAAGACGTATTTTTAATTTGGGGAAACTCCATCAAAAGAAAATGATTTATGTATGGTACCGTCGAACCATCGTAAAGGAGTAACACTCGGAATTTTCTTTACATTTATTTTGTCTACCAACGTTTCTTTTATTAGCGAACACGTTGAGCCGGTATCAATTAAACAATTTGCAGTATAACCCGAATAACGATAGGCACAGTTTTTAACTTGTCTTCATTAAAATTATGTGAATTGAGCAAAACGTGATGAGATTTAAGTTTCTTTACGGATGGGTCCCTTCCTGATTCTTTGACTTTGTATATTTTGCCGACGAAAACAATTTTCAAGGCGTGACCAGGTCTTTTACAATATCGGCAAACATCAATCCCTTTCTTATCCGAGTTATTTGTATTCTTAGTTTTAAATTTACAATGGCTAGAAAAGTGCCCCAATTCGCCACAAGAATAGTAATTTGCCTGCGTCTTGTCTAAAATTTTAATGCAATTTCAATTTTTGCATACTTTTTATCCTTATAACTACTTATGTAACTTTTATAAATAATGTAAATAATATTTATTATTTATTTTGATTCTTGGGTATGCTAGGTAGCTGGTTAATTTTTTGCATAATCCAAAGTCTTTTAATTGACAATCATATCCTCAAAATAGTCGCAGCTGAAGTATTGGATAAAGATATTGATAAATCATATTGCTTATTGAATAAATTTAAAAATCATCGATAATTCTAGCTGTGAGAACGATTGGGCACCCGTTTTTATTAACCTTTCATGATTCGTGATATTCGCTGAATGTAATTTTCGGAGTAAAAGGTACCTAAATACAATTTTACCATGACCGAAATGATTTATTTAAAATAATTGACTAACAAACACATTGATGATAGGTTTGGCAACTGAATCTTTTAAGCTGAGTCACTGTAAATATTGTCAGATGTATTTTTAAAACATTTTAATTTAAACAAATCGTAATTATTCTCTATCGAGGAAAATTCTTTCTCCACGGAAACGCTTTGCTGGCCTCGCTCCCGCTCTGCCCCGAACGAGCCACGAACGCACGCATTTTTCGCGTTAGTGCCTTTTTTTCAATTCCACTCAAGCTAGAGGGTTAGTTTTTGGCGTTAGTACCTTTTTGGCAATTTAACCTCCGCTAGGGGTAGTTTTTGCGTTGGTGCCTTTTTGACAAACTCACCCCTGGTAAAAAAAGAGGTTCGTAGAACAAATAAATTTCATAGTGACCTTTCGGCACTGTTGTTGGGGGGTGCGGAGCGAGAAATAAATGTGACGTATTTGGTCGCGTAAAATATAATTAAATTAAATAAATGCGCATCTATATAATTTATGATTTATTGACAACATTTACAAACTTTTGACGTTTAAAAAAAAATCTTATCAATATGAAACAAGAACTGGTTTTAATTCGAAGTTTTGAGGATCAAAATGCCGTGGTATCTTCTAAAGAAAATGAAAAACCCAAAATAGAATTATTCAAAGCGATGTGGCGATTACCACACATTTAAGTAGCCGATATAGAAACACTGCGACTCTTGAAGTACGTCGAGAAAAGGAGCGAACACAATTGAATCAGAAATTCAAAACTTAAATTTATGTACGTCAGATACGTCACAATTGAATCAAAAATTCAAAAATTAAATTTTGTATGTCAGATACGTCACAATTGAATCAGAAATTCAAAACTTAAATTTGTGTATGTCAGATACGTCACAATTGAATCAGAAATTCGAAACTTAAATTTGTGTATGTCAGATACGTCACAATTGAATCAGAAATTCAAAACTTAAATTTATGTACGTCAGATACGTCACAATTGAATCAGAAATTCAAAACTTAAATTTATGTACGTCAGATACGTCACAATTGAATCAGAAATTCAAAACTTAAATTTGTGTATGTCAGATACGTCACAATTGAATCAGAAATTCAAAACTTAAATTTGTGTATGTCAGATACGTCACAATTGAATCAGAAATTCAAAACTTAAATTTATGTACGTCAGATACGTCACAAT